TTTTCTTGTAAATCTTATTTTTGATTAATTAATCTAAATTTTATAGTTGATAGGTTATATATATATTTTTTTAATCAAAATGAGTTATTGGGTCAGGTTCGGATCAAACGGGTTACTAGCGGGTTGTCCGGTCCACCTTTTTGATAGATTATTAAATGGATTCATGTTGGTTCAATTGAGGGCCAAACTCAAATCTAACCCGTTAACCTGTTTTGAAACAACTATTGTAGTGTTTGTTTATTTGAACTTTGATTCTTTATTATCTTCTTGAAAATTAAGAACTTTTTAGGTTGGCCTGTTAAATTATATTAGATCAATTAAAGCGAAGACACAAAGAGAATGCTTTGGAGAGGAAGTCTCTTGTAGTTGAAGACATTTTATTCTTTAATTGGGTCTGAGTCGGCACTAAATAAATAGAAACTTGAAGATATTGAAAGTTGCTTTATTATTTCAACCATAAAACAAAGGCAAGAGTGAGGGATCTAGATTGGCCCTATATCATAGGGCATGATGAAAATTTGACTCAGTTTTATGGTTGCACTTTTTATTGTACAGTCTTCCACACTATAATCTATCAATGATGAAAGTTGCTTTGTGACATTTATTACCTCAGTTATGAGTGATTTCCTTTATTCACATACATTGGTTACTCCTAAGGAGAATGGTATTTTTTGCAGAGTTGGTTTAAAAAATTCCTAAATATTTGATGAGAGAAAGCTCTGTATTCTTATACATAATTTGCTTTAGTTGGTTGACACCTCAGTTGAACAAATCAAAGTTGTTGCCACTAAAGGAGATGTCTAGAAAGCAGAAGGTTGGTGGTCATCTCTTCCAACTAGCGACTTGCGAGAAGAGGACAATGATAAGGGAAACAACATTGAGGTTTCTAAACAAAATGATGTGGGCCTTTTCGGTCCGTTTACTGAAGGAAACAAGTTAGAGGTTTTGTCCCTTAATTTTGCTAACTCTTCGGAGGGAGCTGACTTGAAGAAGCTGAAGGAAGGAGAGATTAAGACTAAGTTGCCTTTGCTAACATTGTTGGGTGTTGGCTCGACTGTCCAAAAAGAAGCCTACTTATGCCAATTGATTTGAATGAGTTTACCCCCTCATTTATTGCTTTTTGGTTGGCAAGCTGGAGAGATTGAAAGTGCTAGTTGGCAAGTGATACTGGTTGGTGAGTCGCACTAGTTGCTGAGCTTTTTCCATCGAACAATTCTTATAGCAACATTGCTCTTCGAGTTCAAGCTGTCAAATCCTATTGAAGTTCTCACGCAGATACTTTTAACGCTATTGATGATAGGTTTGCATGAATTTTAAAGTCACCACTTTATCGGGACAAGGTGGTTTAAATGAAGGCAACTGGCCCTTTAGCATTGATCAATCCTTCTTTCTCATTAGAGTTGTCAGCGGATTTTAAAAGTTTTTGAAAGCTTTGTGTTACGCCGACCCATGAGGGGCCGGCTGAACTGGTCCAACCCGGACCGGTCCACACCTACAGGAGGCGGAATCGAGCAAGGCGGGCGGAACCGAGCGGAACGAGCGAATCCGACGGGGGCCAAGGAAGAGTTTTTGGAGGGAAATTTTGAAAGCGAAGGGCTGTTTAGACTTTTTGTAAAACTCCTTTATGATTAATTAGGAGGTTAGGAGGAAAAGGGTGGGATTATCTTGAATTTGAATTGTTTGGAGATCTAGGGTTTGGTGTTCTTGGGCTCTTGGCTTTGCCGGAGATCTTTGGAGAGTTTTTCCTTCCTCTCGAATTGAAGGAAAATTGTATCTTGCAAGTGCTTTTCATCGTCTAGTGGAATAAAAGTGTTTGCTTCGTTTTCCTACGATTTCTTCTACGTTTCCTCTCAGTTTTTCTCGTATTTTTGCTGTTTTTCTGCTGTGGACAGCAGTTTCCATCGGATCTACTTCAGTTTTGGTGAGAAACACTTGGGAATCCAAGTGTTTCCTATCACTTTGATAAGTCGTTTAGGTGAACTCTTCAATGGAGTTATCTTAGGACATTTTGTTCTTAGCCATCATTAACTACACTCTATTGGAGCTAATCTCAATTGATGTTGTAACTCCGAGTTTGGGTTCAACAATCATTTTTCGGGAGTGGCAACTACGACCTGATTCAACAAGTTTGAGTACAATGTAACTCGCCACCCAGATGTCAAGGTTGAGTTCTTCCTTTCAATATATAGTACTAAACAAATAGTGACTTGAAAATGTTTCTACTTTTCTTGTTTGTACTTGTATGATAGAAAACAGAAAATAATACGTGCTTTTTTCATGTAATTTTCTCTTTTTTTTTTTAATATATAAACTTCATAGTTCAGTTTGTATAAGTTGGATCTAACTAGGTTTTAATATAATTTTTAGAAGAATGGTAAATATCTTGATTCTTTTGATTTGTGCTCATTTATTTATTATTTATTGCACTTTACATTTGACTTTAGATAGTTGTACTTTAATAAATAACACTCGATATGTGATGTTCTGTCATTCGTAGTCGATGATCAATTCATGATACACTTAGTGCTAAGTATTTGGCACTAGCTATGAGGTATTAATCCACTATTTGTGAGGATCAAATGATGATTACATTATGTTTCTATAGATCTTTTGACATCTTATCACATAGGACAATAATTTGATGGTCATGATTGTGCCCCTTGCAATTTTTGAGACCTATTCTTAAAATAGGGTTTAAGATTTATTATTTTACTTTTTAACTTTTGTGTAATATTTTCTTTCTGTTTTTTTCTTCATCTTCTTTCAAGTCTTCATTTTTTTTTCTACATTTCCTCATCTTCTTTCTCTTAATGTTGCGAGGACGAGAATCCTCATTCTGAAGTGTTTGACAAATTGTGTCGACAAATTGGGTGCTTTTGATCCTCAAGTTGAACTTTAATGGAGTCCTTATTTATCATTTAAGATTACTAAAGGAATTCACCATACAAGCTATGAAAGCTTGCAAGTTCCCTAATTCATACTTGCCTACTAATATCTACTTTTATATGGACCAAATTTTTCTTGATTTTTATCTTCATGTGTTCCTTATTGATGAAGGTTTTGAAATTCTATAGACTTATTCCCTGCCAATTGATGCCGAATAGAGTAGAAGGTATCATTTCTTTTATTAAGGAACAGAAAATCTGATGCACTTAATATTTTTAGGAATCTATTTATGATAAAGGGTAAGATGGATGCACTATATCTTTCACTTTATTATATATCAGGATAGGGGGCCTTGAGAACACATTCAATTATTGGAATTGAAGTATTTTTTTCAGTCGACCAATTATTGGCCAATGTTTCTTGAAACCAACTTAGATCACAGTTCACCAAAGATAGGGAAAAGTTACCAAAATTGTTGGCATATGTACTAAAGCAGATGCCTTCTTTGGTGTTGTTATCCATTGACTGCTAGGCATATACTTGGAAAAGCATTATAAGTGATTCTGTTGCTTTACTTGCACTTTCTCCAGGTAAGGTTCGTTAAGCTAATTTTGTATATATATATTGAATTACAACTAGTTGGTTGTATTTATCATTACGATTTGTAGCTATCATGATGCTTCTTTCTTTAGTTGTTGCCTACAACACGGATGACATTGTCTTGGCTAGATTCTTCAATGATTTTGAGGATATTGGTGTGGAAGGATTGGAGGAACTCGTCACCGAAGGGAGGAGTCCACACTAGCATTAGAGGATAGATAATGATTCAACTTTTACATCTATTGCATTGATTTTGGGTACTATTGACCAAAATGCTCCCAAATTAAGTCAACATTGATCCTGTAATTGACCCTTCATCCTAAAATTATCAACATGGATGGCATGGTCACTAAGGCTCCTCATATGACAACTTCCAAGACCAATGAGTATGAGAAGCCAGATTGGGGTAAAGCATTAACTTCCCATTCATTCAAGGGACATCGATGGTGTTTAAAAGATAAGTCAAGCTCCCATCTTTGTCTGTTGGGCAACGATTATAAGAAAATGACTTTGATTCTTAAAAAGATTAGTCAATCCCCATCTTTGTCATTTGGGCAATGATTACAAGAAAGTGACTTTGATTATTAAAGTTGACCTCGATTTTTGTGGTGATGACACTTGATTTCCTGTGAACTTAGTCCAATGTTATTTTCTCAAAAATCATTGAAAGCTTGAGTCAGCCCTTCTTGAAACTCATCATTTTATAATAATGCAGAAGCAAGTAGCTGCTAGGTAATCTTTATCCTATATGGCATAGTCTATTTAAAGATTTATTAAAGGGGCTTAAATGCAACGAAATATCTTTAATTTCATGCAGGAGGAGAAAGCCTAGGTTAAGAGAAATTGACCCAGCTTTTGATGTTATCACTTCAGATGGAGTGACTTAAAAAAACAACTATTAGATGGAGTTGAGGCTAAAGTCGGACACCAAGGCTCGGTAACTACTCAATTCAGATGATAAGAACAATACAAAGATAATCCAACTTCAGCCATTATCCTAGCAACTATTAGCCTGGAAAGCTTATCAATAGTAGCATTCACCTGAAGTAGTTGAAATTTGAGCTAATATAGTACAAATTAGACTGGTTGAAGTGCTGATCCATAGTGTGGAAGAACAACCAAATTGGAGTAACATGAGATTCATTGGAATTATCAAAGTGAGGTGATCACTTAAAGCCTATTATTGGGAACCACTCCTTGTGCTATGATCCCCTTAGGAAAAAGTCTTGAATAATTGACTTCTAGGGATAACTTGATAAAAATCATGATAATAATTTATAAGCAGAATTGTGTATCCCCATTCAATCTCAAATTAGTCATAAATCTATGAACGATCTCTAAATTGGGGCAGCCATAAAAAAATTCCCAATAAAGGAGAGAAAAGGAGATATTGACTCAAAAATATATTTGTTAAAAAAAAAGATGCTGTGTTTACCTTCATAAGGGGATGATATATATATTGGTGCTTTCTACTTTTTCTCTCTTTGCTTAATTCTCTTCTTTTTATTTATCAGGGATTTAGGAAAATTGATCCTGATCGCTGGGAATTTGCAAATGAGGGATTCTTACGAGATCAGAAACATCTTTTGAAAAACATAAACAGGAAAAAAACCTCCCATGCGCATACTCAGCCCCAGGCTCTTCCACAGAATACTTCAGTCACATCATGTGTTGAGGTTGGCAAATTTGGCTTAGATGAAGAGATTGAGAGGCTCAAGCGGGATAAAAATGTTCTCATGCAGGAACTCGTAAGGCTAAGGCAGCAGCAGCAAACCACAGACAATCAGCTGCAAGTCTTAAACAAGCGTATTCAGGGAATGGAACAGCGCCAGCAACAAATGATGTCATTCTTAGCTAAGGCCATGAACAGCCCAGGATTTTTAGCCCAACTGGTGCAGCAGAACAATTCCAATAACCAACTAATATCTGGAGGCACCAAGAAGAGAAGGTTACCTAATCAAGAAGAGTTTCAGGCTGAAAGTGCCTCTCGTGATGGACAAATAATTAAGTATCAGCCATTGATGACAGATGCAGCCAAGTCCATGCTGATGCAAATATTAACTTCAGAGACCTCTCCTAGGTTGGATTCTTATAACAAGCCTGATGCTTTAGACAGTAGCAGGAGTTGTTCAAGTAGGAGCTCTGGAGTCACCTTTCAGGAGGTCCCTTTGAGTTCTGCAATGCAGTTTGTCCCGGCGAACTCTGTAGTCTCAGCAGTTTGTTCTCCATCCGCTTTATCTGAAATACAATCTTCCCCAATTGTTACAGATCCAGGAAATTACAATCTTCCCCAGCCGGATCTTGGTTTCCCAGATCAAATTCCTACTATGAGCTATGCAGCTTCTGAAGCAGAAAGTGCTTTTGTTCAGTCCATTGCTGGACTTGATGGGATGATTCCTCTAGATTTGGAGAAGTTTTCCGGTGATGCTGACATTGACGTCTTTAGCGACGGCGATGATGGCACGAAACTTCCCGGCATTGTCGACTCTTTCTGGGAGCAATTCCTTTCAGCTAGCCCAATATCTGTTGACAATGAAGAGGTTAATTCTAGCCTTCCTGAAGCTAAAGTGCAAGGGCGAGGGTGGGATGGAGTTCATAACATGGACAACCTAACGGAGCAGATGGGTCTTCTTGCTTCCAAATCTAAAGTCTTATAACTGCTAATTTACTTGGAATTATAATTGCAGGTAATATAGAGATTTCGTTATGTACCTATAAGCTGACATTAACGAACCTATAAGCTATGTTTTATGGATGTAGAACGGTGTCCGGGAGATCAATTAGAATGTGTCACGTCAGCCGTACAGAGCCGCGGTATCAAGGGGGTGATGTGGCATATTCTGATTGGTATTCGGACGACGCCGAGCTTCATCAGTATCAGTAATGAGAGCAGCAAACAGTAGTTGGTAGAGATCATTGACTTCCAAAGAAAGCTTTCACGGAGTTTTCCGTTTGATAATCACTTTGATCTCTTAGATATCCAAAATATTTTACAGAGTAGCTTAAGAATTTTCAGTCTCCATAATAATTTTTTTTCATTTTTTGCTAGCAACAATATATCTATATATATAAATTAATGAATTTTATACCAAAAAAAGATGATAGAATATATCAAAATTTAAGTTGACAGCTCAATGAATCTAATGAAATACAAATCAAGTTCAAAATCATTAACTACAACATGGTTGTTTAATTAATCATTATTAATGTATAATTAGCATAATTAAGTAATTTTAACATAATATGTTAATCTGTTTAAAATAAATCTAATTTTAAATATATAAGTGATCAGTATCATTAGTATAAGTAACTTCTGCACATGATAACAAAAATAGAAAAAATCCTTATGCACATGATCATAATTATAAAATTAATAATGGTATCTAACATTATAAATTAATTAAAAAATAAACCAATTGAAAAAAATACATAAGTACATTCTTAGATTTGTTTAATATTTTTCATATATTTTTAAATAATTTTTTATTAATACTAGATAAAAAGGTAAAATTTATCAATTTTACTTTTGTGTTCATTATTCTTAAATTCTTAGTAATGTGGTGGCACATATAAATATATTATTCCAACGGATTGGGCCAATGTCAAGCCACATACTTTGGATAGCTAAATTTAGAGCTATTTGGACCCAAAGTTCTAATTACAATTTTTTTTATCGCTATTTTTTTTGGTAGCTTTCTCATTACTTTTTAAAAATTTTTATGATAAAAAAGTTGATTTATGCAACTATAGTAGAGAAGTTATTTTTCACATAACAACTTTATAATCTACTTTATCAAACGCTGCATCAATTCCAAACAGACTTTTAGTATCTAATTTTTTGTCAATCGAGTAAAATTATACAATAATTTTTATCTTCTAAATTGTCTTGAAATGTTTGCTTCATATTAAAATCATGTGTAATCATATAAGAATTTTTATAATGCCAACAAGAACAAGAAGTAATTAGCCTTAATCATATAAATTGGCCATCACTATTTTTAAACAATTTAAAGATAGGCCGTATTTATTCAAAATAAATATTAAAGAAGTGTACTTAGTGTATGTAGTTCCAACAGCAACAATAACATCAATTATTTATCCAACTTGGTGGCTAATTATTGTGTCCGAACACCGAATGCATCCAGAGACCAATAACAAAATGCCACGTCACTAAAGTGCTCGGTACTGTGATCGGTACAACACTCGGTACCGAGCTCGGTACACTCGGTATGCTTGATATTCTGTCCGGATGTAATAATTTTTCCACTTGGTGGATTTGATTGCATGAATTTATTTTGTCCATTGTATCATATTACGAATCAAATAAATATTAGAGAAACGTACTTAGTGTATGTAACCCCTACTAATATATAATCAAATGAGAGTTTTATTTTTATGTACATAATTTTTCTCATATATTTATAAATAGATTATTTTAGTGACCCAAAGATCTAAATCATATCGAGGCAAGTTCAAAACCCCAAAATGCCCTCAGTATAAATAATATAATAAGTAAAAATTGGGGGCACTTAGTTTTTTTTTTTAATCTTTTTTATTTTAGCTGTGAAAAAATTATTTTTCAAATGCACATTATTTTTTAATAAATGATTTAATTAGTACAAAAATAGTGAAAAGTTACTCTAAACAAAACTTTAGAGTTCCTTGTTAGGGTTCTTAAATTGCCACATCGCCCAACGGCTGTCTTTGTGATGAATATTTCAAATTTCTATGCTCCGCCAGTTCAACTTAACGGGACTACTTTATTTGTTACCCTGCAACGGCTAGTAAAGGAACAGACCCAAGCATTATCGTCCGTTAGATTAACAAAGGCAACGGCTCTGATGATCCAAACAATTCGACCGTTAGTGCTCAGACATCCGCTCGATGAAAAGTAGAGAGGCCTTCTCCCTTTTCTTTAAAATAGGACCATTAGACGAAAGAAAATAAACGAAGAAGAAGGTAAGAGGAGAGAGCGAGGTAGAAGGAGAAAGAAGAAGAAGAAGAAGGAAAGAGGAGATAAAATTACTTTCTCGTTTAACCTTTACCTCTGTCTCTGAGATCTCAGCAGGGACGGCGGCGAGCCAGAACACGGAAGTAGGGGAGTCGCTGAGCACTCGCCTTCAATCCTTGTTCTCGTCCGTGTTCTCCAGTATCTTCTGGAACAGCCAGAACCAGCAAGAAGAAGAAAGAGAGGAGATGGCAACAAGGAATCAAGCTCCTGTTAATGGCCAGCAGAGAGGCAAGGGTGGGATAAAATCTTCTTATAGCCATTAGACCTGTTATTTTAGGGGGCTTTTCTTTGATTTCTGGGCCTGTTCCTTTTATTTATTTCTGGATCCGGGTCAATTGTTTTATGATTCTGTTAATCCATCTTTTTATTCTGCTTCTTTGCTTTATTATCTCAAATCTTGCAACCCTTTTCGTGGTCTTCTTCTTTTCTTTCCTTAGGACTCGTTATCTGTTCCTTTTTCTGGACTTAAAACTTTTAAATTTGAAAATATTGCTTCCCTTATGCATTTTTTATATGATTTCTTCACAAGCTGCCTTTTCCTCTCAATATCTATCCCTTCTTGTATATATTTTCTTTCCAAGTTTTATCTAACAAGAGTATTTCTTGGTTCCTGCTTTTCCTGTATTTCAGCTTCGTGACTGTTCACATCTACTCTTATATTGGTTGACAGGGGCCGCCTTTGCCGCAGGTAAGCCGAAGGCAACTGATGCTCCCGGCGATGCTAAGAACCGAAAGGCTCTTGAAGATATTGGCAATCTGGTTAATCTCCGTATCGCAGATGGGTAAATATTATATAATACGAGTTACCTCTTAATCTCAAGATCAGTGCTCTTCACATGTATTTATTTTTCTATATTTAAAATTCGTATTTTCTTTTGCTTTTCTTCCCAGGAAGGCAATTACTCGTCCAATAACAAGGTATTTCAAATCTATCCACCGTTGATTTCTCGCAAAGTTTAATCTTGATCTATTCTAATGCATAGTTTGCATTGCATATAGAAGTTTCGGTGCGCAGTTGCTAGCCAATGCACAAGCTGTAGCTGCAACTAATAAGGTACTTGTTTCTTGTTGAATATTCCTCCTGTGATTCATTAATCAATATTTCTACTTCTTAGCCTTGATCTTCAAACTTCGTAGAATGTTTTGAAGCAAGTAGTTCAACCTGCTAATGGGGCTGCTAAGAAGAAGCTCGCTATTAGAAATCCAAAGCCTGAGGTTGTGATAGATATAACCTCTCCTATATCAGAACAAAAGGAGAATCAGGGAAAAAATAAATCGCACGCTTCTTCCTTCAAGAGGAATGTCCACTCCCTAACCTATGTGCTTTCAGCTCGTAGCAAGGTATTACAAGCTGTCTTCCTATATCACAATTTAGTTTTTTTAGGTCAAATAAATATATTTTTCTTTGGATGATTTACAACTTTCCATTATATCAGGTTGCATGTGGGATCATAGATATTGATGCTGCAGATACGGAGAATGAATTGTTCATGGTTGAATATGTTGAGGATCTTTACAAGTTCTACAAACACCATGAGGTAATAATAGATCCAAAAGAAGATCTCAGTTTTACATCTTCGTTGATTGATTTTATATAGTTACAAAATATATTTTTGATGGCTTGGAAATGCAGAAAGTTTGCAGCCCACAGGACTATATGAGCTCACAGGTCGAAATAAATGCAAAAATGAGAGCCATACTTGTGGATTGGTTGATCGAAGTGCACCACAAATTTGAACTAATGCCAGAGACTCTTTATCTCACAATGTTCATCATTGACCGCTTCCTCTCCATGGAATCCGTGCAGAGGAAAGAACTTCAGCTTGTTGGTGTTAGTGCTATGCTCATTGCCTCCAAGTATGAGGAGATATGGGCTCCAGAGGTTAATGACTTCATTTGCATTTCGGATCGGGCCTATACTAGAGAAGAAATACTTAAAATGGAGAAGGGAATTTTAAACAAGCTTGACTGGAGTTTGACATTTCCAACCCCCTATGTATTCATTGTCAGATTCCTGAAGGCAGCGGTTTCTGATAAGGAGGTAAGAGAAGGATTGGGTTCATATAATTTTCTCTATAATCTTCGGCCATGAAGAGTTTTTTTTTTTTTTTATAATTCCTAAAGATCAAGCCATGCTAACTCTTCCTGTGTTTCCAGATGGAACACATGACATTCTTCTTTGCTGAACTAGCTTTGATGCATTATTCTATGGTCATGTACTGCCCTTCTTTGTTTGCTGCTGCTGCTGTCTATGCTGCACGTTGTACCTTAAAGAAGACTCCATTGTGGAGCAAAACTCTCGAGTACCATACTGGCTATTTGGAAAAGCATTTGCTGTATGTTCGTTCACTTTAGAGTATTCTCTCTTTAATTTTTATGATAATCTAATCAAATCTGTATATTATTTCCTGTTACAGGGAATGCGCGAAGCTTATGATAGGCTATCATTCTTCGGCAACGGATAGCAAACTCACTGTAGTTTACAGGAAGTACTCAAAGGAGGAGCTTGGAGGTGTTGCAATGAGGTCTCCAGCTACCAAGTTTGTGGAGGCCATGAAAGCATTGGCCTGATTTTGATTGATTGTCACTCACTTACCACTTCTGCTAATTTGATTGGTTTAAAAGACAAGAGTAGGACATCAAATTTGACATCTAATCATCAAGTTGATGATATAACTTGCTTTATGTAGTTTGTGGGTTTACTTTCTTTACAGGTTTTCTTTGTTTGTTTCTTTGGGAAGTTTGTTCTTCATGTGCATTTTGAGATCTTGTCGCTGGTAACTTTGTGGTATCTTGCAGAAGCAGCTAAAATGACATAAAAATATGAAAAAAATGCTTTAAATAAAATTGATATAATCTCACTTACAAGCTATATAATCATTATTTAAGTCATCAAACAATAAATTTTACTACAGGAATAATAAGTCTTATTTTATTTGTTGAATGTATTTTATCTCAATATGGAGGATCTTATTAAATTTGTTCAGATCCTTCAAAATTATCTCAATAATTGTAGAAGTATTGAGAGATTTGAACCGTTTGATCTGCTTTGGGTTGAGCCTGGAAGGATATTGCAGAAATCCTCCAAGATGGGGTGAGATGAAAATAATTTATTTTTAAGACTACTATAATAATTCATTCAACAAATAGAAATCACCACTGAATCAACTAAATAACTTCTTTTATATCTTATACATTGATATAACCAAACCTAAAGGCTTAACAATTAAGCATGAGGCAACATAATACAATCATGCATTAATAAATGATAAAAATCCATTTAATTCCTTCCATTAATCCATTCAACATAATACCTAGCCCCGGGCGGAACCACCTAGCCCCGGGCATTAATAAATGATAAATAACTTCTTATATCTTATACATTGATATAACCAAACCTAAAGGAGTAATTCCTTCCATTAATCTTAACAATTAAGCATGAGGCTACAACATAATACAATCATGCATTAATAAATGATAAAAATCCATTTAATTAGGTAGTAATTCAAGTAAATTTTACTTGTGGTCAGGGGCGGAACCCCTAGGTTGTTTCACCCTTGACCACAAGTAAAAAACCACTATGATCATTAAAACCAATGTATCTACCAATATATATAAGAAAATTATTAAAAAATCTACCGATCAATAACATGTGTTGTACAACAAAACAAGCATCAATTTTTCTATCACTTATATTCATACTGATGGTTCTATATGCTTCTATCAATCTATAATGTCATGTATCAATATGTCATATCAGTATCAGTATGTCATATCAGTATGCTATATAAATATGTTATTCAATATGTCTATCAATATCTATTACACATGTTATGTCATGATGTATCAATCTCAATGCTAGTTCTATCAGTCCTATATCAATTATCAATCAATTCATATGCTATCATGTAAATGAAATCATGAATATGGTATAATAGCAAGGTAGGACATCCAATTAGTTACATGGTTTTTTCCTATATCTTATATTAGTATTAAGCGTAACGTGTCAAGTGGCAATCTTGTAAGAGTCGTCACTCTTACCATCAGAGTATCTTATCCCTTTTTGGCTCTCTATCTTGTATTTTGTACCTTGCATCTTGTATTGAGATTACACCATAAACCATAATTTAAAGTGTATAGGGTAACTTGCTCAAACTAACTTGATTTATACAACAAGTTAGTCTTTTTTGAAATACCACATTTTATCTTATATTAGTCATATCATTTTCTATGCAAATTTAGTATCATGTATACAATTTATGATATATATATATATATATATATACACTATAAATCTACTTCAAAAAATCATAACTATCAATTTATTTAGTAAAATTCATAATATTACAATCAAAATGCTCATAAAAATAATATATATTATATCAAAAAAGTTGTATGGTGAAAATTTTATAATTCATGATAAAATATAATTTATCGATTTGGAGTAGATTTAATTCACCAAACACAAAATCACTAAAAATAAAAGTAGAATTTAGGTTACCTATCAGGATCAGAAGAAGCTCAGAAGAGAACCAACAGAAGAAAATGACCTGAATGATTTTCTCTCTCTCCTCTCCTATTCCTTTCTTTCTTTCTCTGACAAACCACAAAATGAGGAAAGGGAGGAATGGCTTAGTGGAGGAATTTATTTGAAAAACATTATCCAGTGCCCAACATCGTAGCATTGCATTCTCAATCTAAAGTTACTGTAGAATAGAGAGCTCAACACCACCACAAGGAATCCTAGCGCTGCTCCCCTCAACTTAATTACATTTGAATGATATAATTGAAGTACGAGTCTAAAAACTACCAAGTAAAGATATTCATTTAATTAAAAACATCAAATAATTATGTATGGTTATCATTGTATTTATAAATATTTGTTTTAACAATAAACTTAAAAGTGATATTAATGCAACAAACCATAAAACCTTTATTAGCAATATATGTTAATACACTTTGTTTTAAATTAATGATTTAGTTAAAAATATGAGTTGAATAACCCCCATTAACTAAATTTCAATGCACATCCTTAATGAACAATTATTATGTACTCTTAGATTTAATATTTAGGTAACATTCTTTTAAGAAAAAATAATTCTATAAATAAAACTAGGTTAGAGTTTTAACATCATCTTCATTTAGCACTCACTAAGCCACCTAGCACCATTATAACTATATCCACAAAACATCACAAAATTACAACAAATAAAAATAAGGTTGAGAGATTACTTTGTGTCACTCCCCGACAACACGAGACACAATGAATGGATATAAAAACATGTTTTGTACTCATATGAAAGAAAAGTTCCCGCCGGGGGGGGGGGGGGGGTGTGTTGCCTATATTAAAATAGTTTTGTTTCATGTCTCATTACCGGAGCCAAGAGAAGCTCTAATATCAAAATTAAGAATGCAAATAACATGGTCTTTAGAGCTTAGAAGACATAAATATCTGTCACTGACAATCTCCATTTGTGGGCGAGAGATGAGCGAAAGGGAAAGCGAATGTCATGCTCGAGGTTGTGAGTTGCGAGTCGTGAGAGAGGAACAAATCGAAAAAATGAAGCAGATCGTTTGGGTCGAGGGCTAAAATTTACTCGAGATTCTTTAAAATATTTTCATTTCAACTAATTTAAGTGAGTTTCAAATTCAATCATTTTAATACAATTTCAACTAAAATTTACTCGAGATTGAATGGACTGTCGATGTTGATTCCCTTGATCATGGACCATTTATTGGGTATTTGAATATCTTAATGATATCAAAATTTGACAATCTTGGGCTCGTTGGATTCGTCTTGTCGAGCCGCTCCATTCAACCTTAAGCATGTCATATTTGGAACCTGTTTGGTAATCCAAATTATGGATTGAACCTTTCAAATGAGCTTCAGGTTTTTGATTTGGACTCGTTTGGGCTTTGATAGAGTCGAATTTGGTGTCGTTGGGTTCCTATTTTCGAGACGTTCAATTTGACTATAAGTTTGCTGAAATCAGAGTTCAAATGGTCTCTGGTTTTATTTTTGAAATTTCCAACTTAAATAATTGCTTTTTTTTTTTTTACTTTTTTTAGGAATGTCTAGAGTGATTTTTTTTTTTTAACTTCCAACTCCGGCACGTGTCCCCCCATGCATATATTGTAAACAATAAAAAAGAAATCAAATATTCATTTCATTAATATGAATTCAAGTAATAGTGCACCAAAGATATAATTACTACAAGCAAAATAAGTTTAATGAAATAACAACATGAATGAAACTACCCGACCCTCAAAATCAAATGCATAATAATGTACAATATAAATATAAAATACCAAATATAATGTGCTGCTGATAATATTCGATAAGATCCACAAACCTGCATACAAGCAAACTATGCTTATGTTGTTACAATAAATTTTTACTGATATTATATAAATTAACATGCCACATATAATTTGTATAATTAATGTGATTTGCATGAATGATATTTAATTTATTTAATAGAGCCAACGTGCATGAATTAAAATTTTATATCACATGAATTTAAATTAAATGAATTAAGTAATTATAAGTATGTTGTTCAAGACATTCGAATTAATCGATCTAACCTACACAACTAAAACGAATAGAATAAATGTATAATGAAGGATAAATATCAAAATAACATAGGATTTAATCTATTAAAAAAATGAAAAATAAGAATTTCTTCCACTCAAGCTCGAGCCTAACCGATAAGGGATTCAGGGTTATACAAAATCAATACTAATCGAGCCAATAATTAAGTGGCTAGAAATATAAGAATAAGAAGAAAGAGAGGATGAGAGGAAAATGAACTCACTATATATTGAGGAAGGAGGTGAGAGAGGTTTGGTGGCTGTAGAGGGAAGGGGAAGAGTATGGCAGCTGCTGTGAGAGGTAATGGAGAAACAATGCGAGTAGATGCAAAAATCATAAAATTCATGGGATTTGGAGAGGTTTCATGTGGTTGGAGACGTCAAGAGTCGGGCCCGAGTTCACATGTTGTTGCGGCTTCGGTTCACGCCTGGATGAAGCTGGTCCAGTTTATAACACTTTAGCTTATTCAAGAAGAAAAATAAAGTCTCTTACAACCAACTTCTAATTCCCAAGCTATTCTACTTTCTCAATTGCATGACCCCAAGTCATCAGTCCCCCATCCTTGCACATCACTTTGGCATGATGGAATTCTCTTGACCTCTTGCTCATACTATCTTATAAACTCTCTCTTATTGATTTTCTCCATTGCCCTTGCTCTCCCATTAGGTTGCTCAGCACTCTCCCTCACTCCATGATCAATCTCACCTTTCTCATGCAGTACTTGAGTAAGCCTTAGGGTCTTAGTCTAGGTCGATATTTAATTAAACGTTGAGGAAGTGATAAGAGTTTGGCTTGGATTAGATTTACGGGAAAAATTCATAAGTTTTTTAAGACTTTTATGATTTTTCTAGTAATAATGTAATATCGAGTGATAAATTATAAAATATGTAGTTTGAATCTATAATGTTAGAGATACATTTATTTTTAATTGACATTTAACCAAACTATGTTAAAACAAAATCTCCCCTTTTGTCTTGTCCAACTACAACCCTTTGTTTAATGGGCTTTAACTACATAACCACATATGACAAAACAATCCCCAAATCCTCCATCCAAATAAATAATATTATAAATTTGTCTTCATACTGCTTTCATGAAAAATTTCGTTTTACCTATAAAAATCTAAGCTTGATTTTATACTTATTTAGTTATTTCAACATTTAATAGAAAAAAGTAAAAACCCTCGCATGCCCTATTTTTTTATTTTTTGGAGGGATTCGAGCGCGGGAGCGCTGGAGGCACTGCGTCCCTCGACGAACGCCGCAACACGAGCTCCTGGCATGCCCTACTAATTAGTCCTCTTTTGCACCTTCAAATCAGGAAGGTTTCATTGGCAGCTCTTATGGCGGGTGCTTTGCCTTGCTGCAGCGAAGAGGAGGTATTTCTTTAGCCATTTCCACTATTGTTTTTCCTACCAATTTACTTGAATGTGGGTAAGTCGTTATTAAAGGCTAGGGTTTTGTAGGTTCTATATTGAGGTTGAAGAAAGTAGCGCGGAGATTGATGAATCCGATTAAAAACGAATGGATATTTCTTATATTTGTTTGATTTTTGGAATACTTAGTTTTCTTTGATTTGGTTAAATATAATGGACAACATTGCGAGCGTTCAAAATGCGAACGTCTGTAATTTAGTTTTCCTCAACGTTTTTCTCGCGCAAGGTATCAATGGGATTGAAGAGGAAAATAATTAATTAGCAGAGTGAAAGAGGCCTTTTAGGGGCTGTTTGGATACAGGATAAGAAATAGGAAGCAAAGGTAGCGTGTAATTCAAGATATTGGTGTTGAATGAGTTTTGGACAACATCGAAGGCAGAGAATCAATAGTATTTATGAATACCGATTGAAATGAACATCGTCATAATCTCTCATCTTCCATCTGTGTTTAATAGCTTTTACAGGAATGATTTCAAATTTCTTTTTAAACAGTTAGTAATGGCTTCCTGTGACAAAATTTAGTTACATTGCTACTTTACTAAATCCAATCTTTCAGGTTTGTGGATCAGTTGGAAGCTGCCCTAAGAAATGTGTGGGATGTGCTAGTTGTCAAAATGAGCCTGCTTGCAAAGAACCAAATAACCTTACTGGTAAGCAAGCTCCTATGTCTTGTAAACTAACACTGGAAAGGTTTTTTTTAATTGTATTTCTTTTTTATTTTAAATTATGATTGGTACCAAGTTTTAAATGTTACAATCTTAGCTTCCACGTCAAAATTAATTTGTAAAGTTCCAATCAAATGAATATATTGCATCAGAAATCCATGAGATTAAAGGAAGTGAAATAGATTGTTCAACCCTTCACCTTCCTATTGCAGAGCATAATGCGGCAACTCTGAAGGATAAGATTGTTCCACTTGAAGGAAAGCCATACTTCACATCTGTGATGGGAGAGAGTAGCGTTCGCAGTCAATATTTTTTGGTAATTTCTCTATCCTTTTTTATTTCCTGCAAAGCTACACTTCATTAGGCGTCTGCTTAATTCTTTGGTTTTGCAAAACAGAATAAATGTATTTGATGTTATCTGTTTGTAAATAGCTAATATGTTACATATGATGAATGTTATGCTATAATATGAGATTTTATTGTTATTGGAGCTAACAATTATTAGAAAAAGCCAATAGAAACTGAAATTTTTTAAACTGTCGGTTTGTATAAGAGATAGAAATCTTGCAATATAGAAAGAGAGAATAGAATATTTTCAACCTAGAAATTTTTTTTGTGCAACTCATAGGCCAATAAAATCTTCAGGTTTGTATAAGGAACGACAATTGGGATTCACATGTATATCATTCATCCAACCATTCTGAAGTCTTCCTTCAGAATATTTTTTGAACTCCATTGTATCAGCCTAGTGCCCCCGCTTTAAGCCTGTATAGTGGGGCTTTTTCTTTATCTTTATTAATCATTCTATTTCTTGCTTTGAAACTGCAAGCCTTAGTTAATTTCTACCTTGCTAACTTTTTTTTAACATAGTTTAATAATGTTCATCAATAAAGATAAACTTTACATAGCTATCTTTTCTTCTTTTTTTTTTTCCGTTGCAACTTCCTTTTATTAAATCCTCTGAAAATGATAATTTGATTATATTCTCCTTTTTCGAACATTAGTGTTTAACTGTGCAGGATTTTTCTTATAAAACACATATATGTATGTTGATTGTTGATCGAGAAAGAACCTTAAAGTGATTGCTGCATTTTGTTATCCATATTGAATTCGTTTAGTTAGGTAGTTCTGTTGTTTGGCATGAATCAAAATATTTTATATTGACTTAACAAAATGATAGTCAATATCTTGAGAAATCATATTTTTTGTCTGGTGCACAAGCATAATGCTTTCTCGTCAATTAAACTAACAAAATGCTGATTTTTTTGTCAGAAAATTCCAAAAAAATTTCGTCCATATCTTCCACCATCTTCAACAAGGATTGTACTCTGTTGCAGAGAGAAGGAATGGTTTGCTAAATACAAAGTTTACAAAAACGTAAAGGTTATAAGAGAGGGATGGAAACAATTTGTGGTGGATAATGATTTAAAGATTGGAGATGGCTGTGTTTTTGAGCTAATGAATGACAAAGAATTAAAGATCAGAGTTCAGATTCTCAATGGAGAATTACCGGCTACTAAAAGTACTTGTTTTACAGTTGGAAGAAACATTGATAATCCCATTTTGATCGAATGAGCTAGTTTTGGCTATCACATTAAATGCTTCATATAATTGTTAAATTTAGCCTTTTATAGGTAAGTTCTTCTAAGCTATTTTTGATGATTTTGATCTTCTTGTCCTGAGAAATGAAATCTATATTTTGTTGTGATATATGAGTGATATATCCATAGTGATTATCAATAGAATTAAGGTTTCATTTATGATAGTTTTGTTGCTGCTTCTTAAAGCTATTAAACGTATTTGTTTTACAGTTGGAAGTAACATTGATACTCGCATTTTGATCGACTCAGCTAGTTTTGTGCTATCATATTAAACATTTTATATAATTGTTAAATTAGGCTTTTATAAGTAAGTTTTTCTAAGCTATTTTTGATGATTTTGCTCCGTTTGTCCTGAGAAATGAATTTTATGTTTTGGTGTGATAAGAGTGATATCTCCATAGTGATTATCAGTAGAATTAAGGCTTAGTTTGGGACGGTTTTGTTACTACTTCTTAAAATAGTTTTTTAGTACAAAAATTAGCAACAAAGTCGTCCCAAACAAATCCTAAGTTGATTGAAATTGAAAACGAAGCACTATTTATTTTCTTTTTGCGAGTGCATTTCATACATTTGGTTAGAGTTTAAAACACTCAATTGAATGTTCCATATAATTATAATTGATTATTTATCTAACATTTGAGTTTTTTTATGATGTTAGAATGAATGATCTTAGCTCTATTGGATTCATCTCGTTGAGTGGTTCGATTTGATTGTAAAACACAAGATTTGAAGACTGTTTAATTATTCAATTAAAATTTAGAAAGCATGCTTCAGTTGGTTCATTTGAATTTAAATCAGATCATTTGTGATGCAATGAGTCCCTTTCATCGATATTTGTACTAGTCATCGGTGCATGGTATTGTACTAGTAAAGTCTTTTGTTGAGATCGTATTAATGATTTAACCTTCTGAGATATTTGTACAATTGAAGAGCCAATTATTTAATCGATTGTTTTTTAAGTGAGACTTCAATTAGGGATCTTTGTTAGAAGGGTTACTCATGCCCATAATTATAGACAATTACACAAGTTCTCAACACTATCTAGAAACTAGACGAAAATATTCTAATCTAATATTGCTACAATTTGATCATCAAATTTCTTCCTCCATCACTATTCCAATTGAACTATATAACCTCAAAATTTATGCGAAGACATATTAGTTAACTATCTTCAATACTTAAATGCATAGTTAAATAATTTTTCAGAATTTAATATTATCATATCAAATACATTCCAAACTTTAACAACTCCAAAATTTATGAAATATGAATTCAAAGTTTAAGCCTGCTTAATGTGACGGCCCATCTAAGAAAGCCCGTGGGCTCCTCAAGCTTACAGAATGTTTTCTGAAAATATTTTTGATGAAAGTAAATTTAAGTATTCCGATGGGCCGAATTGAAGCACTACTGCAAAAAAAAGCAAAGCCCGAAAATACGGGAATGGTAGCCCGTCTTAAAAGCTTTCTCTCTCTAAAAACCAACGGTGGTAGATGATGTCATCGATGAGCTTTTCTGAAAGCCGAGCAATTTATTGTCGCTTCAGCCTTTTTCATCTCACACTCGCCGTCAACTTCCATTGCAAGAATAGCGCAGAAGAGAGCTCGCGAGGAGGAGAAGAATGGTGCTTTGGGAGATGACGTTGGCAACAGCCTACTTCTTAGGGCTGAAAAGAACGTATAGGCTCGCGCTCGGGATTCAGAGGCGCTTGATTGGCCCCAACAATCCTCGGCTACGCCAATTTCTTCACCGGTATTGTTCTTGCTTGCCCTATTTGTGATGCTAGCGGCGATTTCGGTATTTGATCTGGTGTTTGATCTCGTGTGAATTGCATGATATCTTGCTCAAGTAGAAGAAATTTGTGGCCTTTTTTCCTAATTTCTTTCTTTTATGTGGCTTCTGCAAGGCTTTGACACTGGAACGTTGCACTGGGCTGCAGTAGATGTGTTTTTATGATTGTGTAAAACATAGAGATTTCGAACGCTCTATTTAGGAGCTATGAACTTGTGCATCTTTGGTAGAATAACGTATTCAGAGATGAACTCTGTCCGTCATGGCAGAAATTTGCTGCCCTTCCCTAAGAATTTTCAAATGCCCTTTATATGGCCTATGTGTTAAATGTTATGTCCTGCAAATCTAACAAGTGAAAGTGTAAATGAAATTCTTTACACCCTAGTAGATTGTAGCTCTAAATTGGTGGGTTTTTTTTTCTTTGTTGGTTTGCCTTTTAGCATATCTTTTGTCATGATGACGATGAACTAAAATGAACAAGGTAATTCATATCAACCTCTTTTAACAGTCGATCAGTATTTAAATATGAAATTTATTTGTCAATTGTAAATCCAATTGTCAACTACATCCCACATCATCAAATCAAATTTTCTTTAGGAACATGTCAAATTGTTTTCCTTAGCTAAATAATTGCTATAAATTACTATTTGTAAGCTGCAACTATAATCACTAATCAGAAACCCAAAATGAGGGAGGGCTTTTGCTTCCTTGTTATGAATTCTAAATTAGAAAATACATAGTTTACTGAAAAAAAAAACAAAGATCATTAGCATGAAAGAAATATTAACCGTTAAATATGCTAGAAGTCTATATTTCTATACTTTCTAAAGTTAAATTTGTTTTATTTATATCCATTTTATTGTTCAATGTGTTTTCCAGGACACACCTTGCATGATTTTGTATAACATTGAAAATATACAACTTTCTGAACGTTATGCTCTTACCTATAATGGCTTAAACAAAATGGAATAGTGCATTACCAAACAGTTTATGACGTGTGGTTTTAAAATTGTGCTATTTGCTAAAAGTGGCAAAAACGCAATTAATTATCAAGTTTGATAAATGCAAAGAAAGTATAGAAGATTATAAATGGAGCAAAGAATGGCAAAAAAAGAGACAGATAAGGCTAATCTGAACATGGTAAACACTGAAAAAAAGAAACTAAAAGTTTTGCACTGGTTACTGAATAATAAAATATAGTGAAATAAATATGTTTACCCAAATCATTTGATATTGTTAAATCAATTAGAGTTATAAGAAGGTATTAAACGTTAATGTTACTGATGTGATACAAAGATGATGAACAAGAATTGTTATTAGGAAATTAATAAAATGTGAACTTTACTTGGCTAACTATAAGCGGATGCTTCTTCAAGTTAGATCTTAAGAAATTTCATGAGAAAACTAAGCACTGGCAATCGATTACAATTGAGATTAATAGGTTACTTGCAAAATAACTAACAACAAATAAATGAGTAAAGCGAAGGGCAAGTTAACAAAACCCACAGTTTAATAATTAGATCATTCACCTTGGGATCCCTCACTCACACTCTTGAAGGTGATGGGCTTAGCGGAAGAATGTTGCAAGCAAACTTAGAGACGTCACTAGAAGACATGCGATGCCAAGGGTACTAGTCGCCGGGGAAGGAATCAGAGTTGGTGGAATGAGTAGTCGTCCGGTGATCTTCCACTCTTCAAGAGATTTTTGTTCGTCGATGACTTCCACCAAGTGGGGGAGGATGCAATCCAAGTATTCCTTGGCGGTGCCTTCGGCTCCAAATCCGGGATCAAAGAATGGTGATCGGATGACGGCAATCTCCCCTTGAGAATTTAGAATAAGCCCGTGATCAACTTCCGGATCCGCCATGCATACTTGCTGTGAGAGATGGGGGGCACAAATGGATAGAGGAGGGAGAAGAGGTGGCGGGTGGAGGGAGAGGATCTGCTGGGAGAGGAAGAGGGAGAGGGGGTCGGGTAAGAGAGGGGGCGGGTGGGGGCTTAGCAAGGATTAGGTTGGGTGGGGAAATCTGAAATTAATTTCAGATTTTCTTAATTTGATTTGGGCTCTTGAATTTCAAATTTTGAAATTTAAAATTTAGGCTTTAGGAGGGAAAGTGGGAATTAATGGGGCCTTATTTGGAGCCATGAATTAAGCTCATAATTAAGGAAAGAGGCAATGGGCGGCCGGCCATAGAGAGAGAGAGGGAGAGGTTGGATTTGAGTGGTTTGTAGTGGGCCCGGCTAATTAATAGAGTATTAATTAAAATCTGATTTAATTCTCAGATTTAAATTAATATAGAGAGTTTCCTAATTCACTGTGTAGGAGAAAAGGAAAGATTCTCAATCCAATTCATTAGGATTTTGAATTCAAAATTATGTCCGAAACAGTTGGAACTAAATTAGGAAGGTTATGATGGTGGAATTAATGGGAATTGAGGAGGTGGGGTGGGGGAAATCAGCGGCCAAGCAGGGGGGCCGGTGGGCTAACGCCGACGGCCTGTAGGTGGCGGTTCCGGCGGCTGGGGCGGCGAGGGAAGCAGGTCGGCGGGAGGGCTTGGGTGGGCGGCTTTGAACATCGGGTAGAAAGGGCTGTTGGGTGAACTTGATTTGATGTGGGTTCAAAGGGAGGGGAAAAATGGAGGATGAAGTAAATAAATCAAGGACTAACTGAGAGCTCAGAATCCACCGGAGGCTGTCGGGTATTGTGTATCCCTCTCCTAGGGTTCTCTCCACTCAAGAACTCACAACTTGAGACAAGGAAAAATCTGAAATTTTAATCAATAATCATCATCCATTACAATGCAAGAGGCCTCTTATAAATAGGCCCAAATAAAAGAAACATAAAAGATGAAAGTGCCCTCGGGCTATAACATAGACTCAACTCCCCATAGGGGTAAAATGAGAAAACTCAAAAGCAACATAAAACATTAAACATAAAATACATAAAAAATATAGGCTCTGAATCGTAGCTGTCGATCCACGACTACGTCGACGATACACATGTCGAAATCTCTGATTGATATCCTCATCAGTTACTTCATCTAAAAAGAGAAACAAGGTTTCCTTGTTAAAAGAATTAGCTTCTCTTTGAATCTCTTAGATGAGCTTGACTTGCACATTTGCTTTGGAAGAAACTTTGCCCGTCTGTTAATTTTTATTTTTCAAACGGAACACATCTGGTATTTCTTAGAAAATTAGAACCTGAAAAAAATATTCATGTGCGAACGGCTACAGTAACACCAAATATGGATAGAATGGAAGTTGACGGAGATTGTGTAAATTTAAACTGCCTTATCTAATCATATTTACAACCAGCCATGAGGTAACATATCTCTTAATGTAGTGTGGACTCCAATTAGATATATCATCTTTCATTTCTGAAGTTTTTTGAAGATGGATCAAAAGCTTCCATATAGAGTTCTATTCACCTATAGGATTTTTTGTGATGATGTGCTTGACACGCGGAGAGCATTTTGCATCTGAGAATCCGTTTTAGTAATTAGGGTAAAGCAGCATTTCATAAATCAGAGGGTAATATCTAAGATCTTGACCAAACACTAATTAATTAATTTCCTCAAAATCCTGAATCTATTTGAAACCTTCATCACCAAAGAACTATTGTATAAAGACTAAATAATATGAAGCCATGATTCTTGAAAGAGAAGAGAACATCCTGTGATTACTATGGCTTGCAATTGTAACAAATGAGAGCTATTAATTAGATTCCATTGGAGTCCATGGAAATTCCATGAAATGCTGAGTTTTATCTTTTCCATTTTCACAGAGAATGTACTTTTGTTAAAAGTCCTAGACCGTTTAAGGTTTTGCTTTATGAAATTGGCATTTAGGTAATTGAAGTGTAGTTCAGCCTTGAGATAATGCATTAAAAGTGGTGCAAATGCTTGTTATAGATTTGTTTGTTCAAGGTAAGTTTTAGATTGAATCCATATGGTGAGCTAGTGAATATATAGTTAAACAAGGCCATAGGCTAATTTGAACCTGTGACTTCTTTCATGAGAGCTAGGCAGCATACCACTTGAGCTAAAGCTCTCTGATTAGATGATGGATTTGCATTGAGAGTGTCAGAACTAGAAATTTCTCTAAAACATTCGTTCCCTAATGTTTTCTCCATAAAATCCTCCGGCAATTTAGTCAAATTTAATTTTCTAATTAGTTCATTTATGTCGAGTCATAGTAAAAACCTATGACAGTGTAGCTAAAATTTGTTGAAGTATCCACTTACGATTTGTGAAGCATAGGCACATACCTACTTGTCAACGATGAATGACGCATCACGAATTAAAGTTTCCCGTGTAGCCATGACGCACAGCACATGGTGTGGCCCGCCTTATTTTACGTCTTGCACCATTGCCCATGCATGACACAAATAGCCCGTGCTATTTTGATGTGTAATATCACGCCAAGTAAATAGTTTCATATGTACGCCGCATCGTGCCGTGAGCTATCACGCGTACTATTTTGCGCCACTGGCATGTATGGGCACATGGGCAACTATTGGACAACAAGGAAAACATTAGAAAGTTTGACGGCACATCAAGGACATCATGCACGAACAAATACATGTTATGAATTGAATACATATACTCTCAATTTTCTAATTAGTTCCTATATGTTGAGTCATAATACAAACCTATGATGGTGTAGCTAAATTTTTTTTAAGTATCCACTTACAATTTGTGAAGCATAGAGACAAAGTTGGCACATGATCACAAGGAAAGAAGTAAAAAGTTTGGTAGCACATCTAGGGCATTTTGCACGAATGAATACTTATTATGGATTGAATACATACACTCTCAATTTTCTCCATAAGCAACATGCACAATTTGATCTCAACCAAATCATGAGTTCTAATGCCAATTTTAAGGAAACCAAAGGGGGGTCAAAATTGAGCTAGATACATCAATTGTTAAACAAATTTTCAGCATAAAACCATAAGTCTACGAGTAAGGGCTAACAACTTTTTCAATATATTTTTTAACTATCTAATGTGATACTAACCAAATACTTTCACTTTCCATAACAAAATAGTATAGTTTGAGCAACATATTTTCAACATTAATTATGAATATTAAAGTGGCATAAAAAAGCATGAGAATTATTTTGGAAAATTGAAAAAGGGGTCTTACTGATGCGATTTCTGACATAACCTGAAGTCTTATAGAAGTGCAGATATTTTATATTATCATTTTTACTTTTAGTTTCTCAGGATATACACAAAATTTAAACAGGTGATTTGTAATGATTAAAGCATAGTAATATTTGTAGTAGAATAAAATTAGGTGTGAATTTTTGTTCGGATAATTTGTTATTATGGATAAAAGTTGAGTCAAATTTTAAGTGTTGTAGAGATGACGATGCTCAGGTGGATGAGTGGCTTCACTTGTTAGAAAATGGTTCAGTTTTAATTATCTTTGTTCCTTAGGTTTAGTTTATCTTGTAGCTTCATTTGTCCTTAAATAAGAGTTACATTGCATTGAGCGGAGACACCAAGAAATAAGATTAAGTTTTGTTTTCTTCTCCAAGAGCTGTCTCCTTTTTCTCCCCTCTCTCCATTCTTCCTCTCCAAGAAAGGCTATTCTTGCAGCCAAGAAGAAGCCATTCTTCCTCAAGAAATCCTAACAAAATGGTATTCGAGCAAGGTGGAGTTGATCTCGTGGGAGGTGCTTATGATAACCAAGAAAGAGGCGGATTAAATAGGAGCTGGCTAAGCAGGAGGGCCAACGATCAGGCGATTGCAGCAGAGGGAGGTGGGATTCACGAATCTGTTCGTGTGTGGCATCAGGGTCGGACACAGGCACTGGAGGTGCCGTTCGATTCGATCAGAGGCCGGGTTGCAGGGCCTGGGGCGCATAGGTAGGGCATTGGGTGCTGGGCTCGCGTGCTAAACTCACATGGAAGTGTGCATGCAGAGGTGGCGTAATCGACTAGGTTGGTTTCATGGAGTGCAGTCGCATGCACAAGCTGGTATGGTCGGCCGTGGATCGCATGCAAACAAGTTTTTGGGTTGGAGTAGTAGGATCAGGAGCTAGTGTCGTGCGGAAGAGCAGATTGGAGCATGATTTCACACTAGAGCAGGTACCTGGGATTGAGCGGCCTGATGTAGCGGTAGTCGTGACTTGGTGCCGAGATCGGGTGATTTGGTCGACAGATTGGAGACTTTTCTTGTCAACTTGTCCGTGAAAATTGTTCTTGGACATGTGCAAATGTTGGCATAGATGGGAGGCTAGCTGGCCGTCACTTGGACTTGTGACTTTGCACGGGTCAAATCAGCGGGAGAGATGATTGTGCAAAATTGGGAGGGAAACCAAGGTATGGAATGGGAGTAGTTTGATGAGCTGGAGTCAGACTTGGACATGCGACTTTGTCGCACGTGGGTGCCTGATTGGCACTAGGCACGAGCGAGCAGAGGGGTTAAGGTTAGATCAGAAGCTCACGGAACAGGCACTGCATAGGGCACGAGGGTGTGGATTGCGGGAGGACAATGACGGACGCATGCACATGTGGTTTAGAATGCACGGGAGCGTGAGCTAGGGTTTGTGGACCGGAATGCACAATGGAGGCCAAACACGAGCAGATTTGGGCTCAGGCTGGTGGGCTTTCTCATGGAGTTCGTGCAGGTAGTCGATTGTATCGCAGCATGTGCGAGTTCGAACAGTTAGAGGAGAAACAAGTCATTCGGTGGAGGCTTTTCTTGGGCAGTTCTTGATGGCAACAGGTGGAGCGATGGCTCTCGGTCAAGGCAGAGAAGCAAGAAGATTTGCCGCAATGTGGATGTGCAACTTCTGGAGGTGACCGGTGAATGGTGATGTTGCTGCTGTAGGAAGAGGCAACCGGCTGCGGAAGAATTTCTTGGGATGTTATTTGTGAAAACCAGGTGTTTTTCTCAGTATTGTAAAATTGGACCAATGTGGAGATTGTTAGGGATTGATCCAATTTTAATTATCTTTGTTCCTTAGGTTCAGTTTATCTTGTAGCTTCATTTGTCTTTAAATAAGAATGACATTGTATTGAGTGGAGAACCAAGAAATAAGACTTAGTTTTGTTCTCTTCTCCAAGAGTTGTGTCTCCTCTCTCTCCCCTCTCTCCATTTTTCCTCTCTTTCCAAGAAAGGTTGTTCTTGCAGCCAAGAAGAAGCCATCCCTCCTTAGGAAATCCTAACACCCCTATTAGAGACAAAATGCAAAACGAGTATATACGGGTAAAGGTTGGAATAACTCTAGTGGCAGATAAGATAGAGTCGCCTTAGTTGGTTTGGACACTTAAAATGTTGGCCTTCCGATGACCTAGTTGGGAGAGTAAATGTATTAGATTTGGCCTATGTTAAAAAGGGTTGAGTTAGATCTACAAAAACTTGGTTAGAAAATACTATAAATGATTTGTTTTAATTAGATTTAAATGAGTATTTGACTCTTAACAAGATTCAATGGAGAAAATGATTCACATAGGCGACCCTACGTGGTGGGATAAATGATTGATGTTGTTGTATTGCCGTAATTTTTTGAAAACTCCCATTATAATCCCTATAAAAATGAGGCCAAAGGGGTGCTTTAGGAGGTTTGTGTGGGTATATGTATTGATTGAACTGGCGGATAAGGCTGCATGTGTATGAGAAGGGTAATTATTGAATGGTGCTTGTTCTCCATGTATATATTCCTTTTCATGGATCATTGCGACCATGTGAGGAAGTAATCAGAGCTCTTTTGAAGTTGGAGAGAGATAAGATTGGAAGAAGAAAATTATTTTCAGAGACCTTATTATATCATTTCAGCGAACTGATATGGATATTGCAAAAAATTTTCAACAATTTAATAAAGATGTGTGAAGTTATCCTTTTGATAAACTTTTACAACGGGTATTTTTCTTGATTATCTTTGTTGAGTTAATTTTTTCTTCTGTTTAATTTAAGAAATTTGAGGTTTCTCTATTATGGTGAGAATAGATGTGCTTTAGTTTCAGAAAGAATAGTATCTTCTATCTTGTGCTCTTTTTATTTGTACATTTGTAACTTTCTATAGTAAATCGCATCCTCTCTCTCCGCTTATGTGGATATAGGCTAATTTAAATCAAATCATGCAAATATTGGCATCTTTTTATAGTGCTTGTTTTTTGGTAATACTTTGTGCCTTCATTATATTCACTCTTAATTAGCTTTTCTTCATTAAAGTTAGGTGTTTTTCGTAACACCATACCATATTCTTTTCTCACACAGCCTTCTGCGAATTTGATGGAGTTAGTGTTTACTACTATTCGTTTCTTCAGCTGAGTTTCTCACCTCACTTCATGAAGTTTTCCTTTTTCTCCTACAAGATATCAAAGCTTCCATAATTGCACATAATGAAGCTTCCAACTTTATTGTTTACCAAGTTGTTCACAGCTAGATTTCAGACCATTTTGATTTGTTACAGTTTGTTTGAAACATAGCTTTAGCGAATTTTAGTTTTAGGCACTTTGACGCTTAGTTTATTTTCAATTTTGACCTTTCTTGATCAGCATGACAATCACGTTTTTTATTCATGAATCCCTCTTAGTGAGCAGACGCTGAGGTCTGTTTGGTAACCCCCTATTAATAACAGGTTATTTATGTTAGCTCGGATGTATAAGGAGGGTTGTAAAGGAATTAAGGTGGATAGGAAATCAAACCTTGTTCTGGATGGGTTTGTCTCTGCTCTCTGTATCTTGGTGTAGTGGTTATTGTAAGGCTATTCCATGGTGGGACTTGAAATTAATGGATTCCCGTTGGTTCTGTTTTCCATTCCTGCCCTTCTCAATTTTCTTTTGATTTAAGTTTCTTGACTGGTGTCAGTCCTAATGCATTTAATAGCTATATATTTATATTTTAAGCCCATGGAACGCTGCATTACAACTATGCAGGTCTGTTGTTACCTAGTACTCTTGTTATGGGTTGAGCCAGTTAACTAAGAAGTGAGAAGTATCCTCTGCAATCTAAGGTTTCATTTGGGATGACTTTCTTACTGTTTCTTAAAGCAACTTTCTAGTATACAAAATTTAATTTTTAAATTAGAAAATTATTTTAAAAAGTAATAAAAAAGCTGCCCCAAATAAAACCAAAATTTAATTCTAAATAAATAAATATCATGACCACAAGAAGTACTGTACTTTGCACCATCCATGAATAGACAACATCACCTTTGAGTATAACAGAATTTATTGAACTAATGAGTCTCTCCCAAGATAAAAAAAAAAGTAGGTGATTACCTTATTAAGCTTTCACATGATTGCAACAAAACGAATATTTCAACCAACATTAGATGTAAGTTCACGTTTTTATTATTATTATTTTGCGTTCCTCGTTATCATATTGTTGAGTATTATCAATTCCTGCCTGCTGGAAACAATTGCATTCCTCATTATGCATAATTTAGGCTTCTTAAATCAATTTTCTATAAATTTTTATACTAAAAAACTATTTTAAAAACAATAAAAAAGCCATCCCAAACGAAACCGTAGTTTCAAGATAAGCAAAGCTTTGTCCTAATATTCCAAAACCGGTGGTGTTTGTTTAAAATAATTCAAAATTACACCTGTGTCTCATTCAACGACACTAACTTCTGATTTTCCTCATTTGAAGGCGCACACGCACCATCTTCGACGTTGTAGTCAAAGTTCACCAGAATATACAGCATAGAGACATTCAAGCTGGCCGGAACCTTGGCAACTGGGTTCTCCGCTGGCTCGACCGCATGAAACCATCTGCAGAAATACGTTCCCATTTGACATATGGGCGGCGCAGCTACCCCATTCCCAAGCAAATATCAAGCCTCAGCCAACTGACCGTCTCCCAGAAACCATACGCAAAGCTTGCAGATAGGGTATCGAAAGGGAGATTACTCTTTGCTCGATGGAATCTGATGGCAAAGTACTCTCCAGCTGTTTCCATGATGATGATGCAGCCGATGAAGTCCCTTGGCATGAACGGCCAACTCCGGCAGCTCTGTGGCCATGCATACCAGAAGCCTGTAAATGGATGTAGTAGCAGATATGAAGGTGTTTTCCGCCAGGATATTGCCATCCTGATGCAGCGAAACTAATGGGTGGTTTAGGCTTCGTTTGGGATGGCTTTCATTCTGATTCTTAGTATAAAATCTTAATTTTTCTGTTAAAAAGTTGCTTTAAAAAGCAATAAGAAAATTGTTCCAAACGGAGGCTTAGTTTTCTTTCTTTGCTAGTCGGATTTGAGTTTGTATATCCTCATTTGGTCTTCTTCTGTTGGACAGTTTTCTCTGAATTAATGCACTCCGTTCTTTCTGAGGGATTGATAAACAATACCTTCTTTCTTAGGGATTTGTTTTAGGGCCATCCTATGAGCAGCTGTTTATGATGATTTATCCGAATTCTGTTGTGATGTGTCATAAAGTTTCAGGAAGAGTTAACTTTGTTGGGAAATAGTGCGTTTGCCGTCCAACTTGGACAACCTTCATTAATCATTTGTGTATGTGAAGAAAGATAGTCCCCACTCATTGAATGAAGAGATTATTCTGTACGGTGTGTCTGAATGCATTCGGAGGTTAATTTGAACATGCCATGTCATCCAATGCCCTATATATTGAGATATGTGATGCATTTAGATTGGCCTCAGACACTGCTCCTCGCAATGACACATAACATAACTATAAAGTAATTGTAAAAGGGATGAAACATCACAAAAAATAATATAAAAGTTTTTGTGATTTGACTTAAATAAGAGTACACCCGTGGCCGCATATCAATTAATCCATTGTCTTTCAAAAGATATATAAAATTATACTTCCTAAGAATTTGGAGATATATACATAGATATAATTTAGCCTAGTTGAGAGAAAATATAGGATTATTTGGGACGATCATTTTTTGTAAATGTAATTATAAAGTTGTTATGAGATAAATAGAAATTTTAAGCCTATTCTAAAAAAATAGATTTGCAACATATAAATTTTCATAAGAAATAGTAGTCAAATATAATTTATGGTTGTAGTCTAATAAGTAAAATAGTAAGAAAATTATCCCCAATAGATTGATAAACCTTTATTATAAAGAATTAAAGATACATATATCTAATACAAAGTTGTGGGCTAGATGTGGAGAAATTATTTTGTGCCAACACCGCACGGTTCGGAGAACAGTCAGTACTCGTCATGTCACCCGGTACACAGTGGTACAGAGTACCAATACTGAGCAAAAAAATAACGTGGTCTGTTCTGATTGGTCTCTAGACGACATCCAAGATCACCACAAAATAAGTTTTCCTAGATATGAAGGACATGTTGATGCAGCTCAAGCTGCTTTCTTTCTCTTTCTTTAGCAGGAGGCAAAATAAAAGCAATTCCTTATTATGAGCACTTCCTTCCTTTGCTAGAACTAGAAATTGCAATACTTATTCATTCTTTAAGAAATAAAAAATCTTCCCTTGAAAAATAACTCTTCCTTTATTTCTCAAATGACACACTTCATTTCTCTGTCTCTCTCTTTCTCCTCCTTTTGTTGTTTTTTGTTGTGGAATGCTTCAACATAGTGGAACTAACTCTTTATATAGTGCTTGGGCATAGTAGGTAGTAAACTTGTCATAGTAGGTAGTGCAACTAAGGCTTCGTTTGGGACGACTTTCTTACTGCTTCTTAAAGTCGCTTTCTAGTAAAAAAAATTAATTTTTGTACTAAAAAATTGGCTTTGAAGGACTTTGGAAGCCACCACTTTGAATAAATAAATAGGAATTAGTTAATCTTGAATTAGGATAGTAGATACCTTAAAAAAAAAAAAGGGGGATTATCAATTATGTACCGACTACCTTGAAAAATCAAATATGAATGAATCTTAAGTTAGTAGTCATTAATATTGAAAAATTAAAATAAAATGTAATCAAAGATAGTTAAAGAAATTAAATTCCACACTTTTTTTATTTTTTAAATTCCACACTTAACAACCTCTAAATGGAGTCTGAATTTTTAATGTATTAGCTTAATGAAAGTGTTTAATTTTTTTTAATGAAGGTTAATTAAGGCTTTGTAATACCTTAGTTTATTAGTGGCAAACATATCAAGCTTTGTATTATTATAATTATATTATTATTTTATTCTAAAATTATGTTTATAATATGATGCACATCTGTCTTCTAGAAGAGTCCACTTGACATAAACTTTGTTGTGGACTTCTTTTCTAGAATAATAAGCAATATAATTCATAATAGCTCCCACTTTTATGGTAATTGGCAATATATATTTAAAATTATTTTTGCTTACTTGAGCTACCACAATAGTTGTTGAATCTAACACATAAGTACTTAACATTATTTCTGCAATACATAGAGCTCATCAACTTTATTTGCCTTCAAGACTACCGAGACACCCTTATAAATTAAACTTTAAGGGTATCAATATTACCAAAGAATATATATCCTCCAATAATAAGAGCTCTTAAAGATATTATATTTGTTGCAGACTGGAATATACGCAATGGTAGAGAAATATAAAGTTTAACATCTTAGTTTTGTACGTATATTCAACACACAAACCGATAAAATATTAAGGTATATAACGTTCATATGAGACACCAGAGTTTTTACATGTAAATCCCTGAAAAGAGGAAAAACACGAGGCATTGCCCAGTTTAGATGAATTCACTAGTATTTGCAGTCGATTACAAATGAGGTCATTCATGTGGGGAAGACCTTGACTTGATGTAGCTAATATACATCATATATAGTGCATTATTTGGTGGAAGTTGGAAGAATAAGTGTTGACATATTCATTTGGTCGGCAAGACCATAATTGGCGAGCAATGTCAGTTGGAAGGACCTTAGTTGGATGACGATGGTTAGAAGGACTGTAGTAGGGAAACGGAGGTTGGAAAGTTCGCAATCGGATGAGTGGTCGGACGGACAGTAGTTGGTGGAAAACCAAGGTCGGAAAGACAGTAGCCAAGTGACAGTGGTTGGAAAGACCGTAGGTGTCAGTTGGTGGCCGGGTGAAAGCTCAACGATAGTTGATGGTCGAGCAGTAGTCGCGAGGAGTGGTGATGTTATAACTCAAAAATTATAAAAATATATTTTTACCTACAATAGTCAAGAATTTATTCATGAGTTATTATAAGTCAAATTACAAATAGTTTTCTCCATAGCATTTCTATTGTTGTGTTTTAATTTTACTAATTTTTTTAATAATTTTTCTAAAGAAATTGACACCTGATGATACTAGTGGGGGTTTTAGGACCTTCAGGTGTTCGTTTTGCAAATTGAATTCGCAAAAATTTTCAAAATGAAATAAGTTATTTTATGGATATTTTTTCATAATTTTTAGAATCCATAAAATAATTTCTATGAATTTTATACTAAAAAATATTTATAATAATATTATTATATTTAAAATATATATATCTAAAAGCATTATAGATTAATCAAATAGCTTTGCTCCCATTTTCCCTTTCATTTTTCGTTAACAAAGAACGTTTGGGGAAAAAAGAGAAGAAAGAGAGGAGAAAGAGTTAAAAAGCTATATTTTTATACTTGTAGAGTCATTTTTGTTCGTTGGCCAAGTTGGAAAATTTGCTCGTTTTGAGTTAGGTTACTTTTTGCCTATTTCAATTTTTAATAATTTGGAGTTTTTGATATTTTTCCGATCAAATTTATATTTTTGTAACCGAAAAATGAGAATAGCTTTATTTTGGTAAAACTTTTACGATGTGACTATTTAAATGTTATATAGAATAAGATTATGAACATTTTGAGTATATCTTAAAAATATTTCGCTAGGTGATTTTGAAAAAATAACGATTTTTTTGCTACTCAGAAATTTATCTTGACATCTAAAAATAATGCATCAATTCAATTAATGCTTCAAAATGATGTTTAACACATTCCTTGATATTTAGGTTATGTTTTGAAATTGTTACATTTTGCTCGGTAGTATTTATGTTGCCTATCGTTAGGACATTTTGATAATTTTTTAATTAAGTCCAATTATGCTTTAATTACTGAAACACATTGAAAAATATGAAAAAAATATGAATTGATGTGTATGTTGAGATGTGATATAATGCTAACGCCAGTGAGCGATCTAGGTGAGATTCTGTTACTGAAATGTTGTGTTGTCGACGCCAGTGGGTGACCGAGGTATGATTCTATTACTAAAGTGTTGTGATGCCAGCGCCAGTGAGCGACTAATATGGGATTTTGTTATGCCAACCCTAGTAGACGACCGAGGTGGGATTCTGTTATTCCCGTGCCAGTGGGTGCCAAGGTGCGATTTTTGTAATAAAGATGTATGAAAAATTTGGGCTTAAGAGATATTCAGATAATCATTATGAAGTGTTTGTTTATAATCTAGTTGAATTCAATATTTATTTAATTGTATGCGATGTCAATATATGATTATTGTTCTTTTGATTTTAATTAGTTATCTATTTCTGATTTAGACTACAATAGCATGCTGAGCTGTGTTAACTCATTCCCGCTTTTGCTTTTGTTTTCATGTCTAGGGAAGAGTAAGGAGCGAGCTAAGTAGTTTGGTTAACAAACTCTAATTTATGTTGTATGTATGTTTTGATTAATTTTGATTTTTGCATGCTTGACTTTTATTTTTGTTATGCTCTCTATTGTCAAGCGGTGTTGTAGATATATTTTGGATGATATACAGAAAATTATGTTGAGATTCAATAGTCTTCCGCTTTATTTTGTATTTTGTAGTGACTCTATTTAGTATATAAATTAGAAGTTTTAATTTAGTACTTCCCCAACCAGATGTTGGTGTTAATCTTGCCACAATCAGACACTGTATGACCAATACAGTTTTGTGTCATATTGGGTCGGGTTGTGATAGGTGGCATGAGAATTATGACTTCTTTTCCTTTCCTATCTTACTTCTCATCCCTCTCTTTCTTTTTTCCTCTCAATGAAGAATGAAAGTTCTATTTATAATTTTTTGGGAATGATATGACCAGTAATTAGGGAGAAGATTCAGGGCACATTGAGAGCAGTTCAAATGGACGGCCGATACCGACTGCATTGATCGTGGATTTTTTATATAGTATTTGAGTGTCTTAATGATATCATAGTTTGACGATATTATGTTCGTTGGATTTGTCTCGTTGAGCCTATTGATTCGACTATAAACATGTCATATTTGGAAATCGTTTGGTCATCCAATTTATGGTTTGAACCTTCTAAATTCCCTTTGGGTGTTCAATTTGGATCCATTCAGGCTCTAATTGGGCTAAGTTTGGTCTCTTTGGGCTTGTCATTTCGAGACTTTCAGTTCGACTATAAATTCATTGAAATAAGAGCTCGAATGGTCCCGGATTTAATTTCGTAAGTTTTCAACTAAATTTTACATCAAGATTCGTGCCCAATCATGATTAATTTTTGATGATACATCAATATTCTTCTTTAAATCTATTGCATATCTAACTATGTTCAACAATATAGTTACTCCACTACGTGCCATTAACTTGATAGTTGCAAAACCTCATATATTGTACATGATTTATTTACCATACAAACACAACTATCACCTTAGCTTATATATGAAAAATATATCTACATTATAACTTAGCTTTTAAGAAAAAATTAGTCATAGGTGGTGACAACTTATGATGGTGGTCATCTACGGTAATAGTCAAAAAAATTTTACAGAGCTCTTTAATTCTCTCCGCTCTGGGATCTCCTCATGTGTAGTATGTAGCTCTATTTTATAAGCTTTTTGATATGGACATATTGGTAAATTTGACAAGAATTCAAAATACATCATCATACAATCCATATTAATTGCCTTGATCATGAAACAGTTTCTCGTCAACTAAGAGCCTTAATGATGTTGGAATTAAGTGCTATTGGACTTGTCAAATTGTCTTGCCTAGGGCTGTCAAAACTGGGTCACGGGTCTGGTTCGGGTCCAACCCGAAATTGAGCTGACACTGTTCAACCCGATCTGAACCAGACCCGTTTTTGCAAACGGGTCGATTTTCCAAACCTGAACCCAACCCGCTTCGGGTCCGAGTCAACCCGAACCCGACCCGATTCGGGTATATTTTTTTAATTTTTTTATTTAATTCAATATATTTAAATCTAAATCAAATTAAAATAAGATTTACTTCAATTAATTTAAAATAAATCAAGATTAATTTAATTTGGGCAATAATATCACTACTAATAAACTAGGCGTTCGCAGCACATTTTCGAACCTACAGCAGTGGTTTAAACTGTTGCAAAATTATTTGCAGCGGTTTAAAATCCGCTGCACATCTGCCGCATCTGCGTTTGCTGGTAAGGTTTTAGCAGCGGTTTGGGAAGCGCTGTTGTAGGAAGCTTATAGCAGCGGTTTTGAAGCGCTGCTGTAGGAAGGCTATAGCAGCAGTTTAGAAGCGCTGTGTAGGTCTTTAACAGCGGTTTGGAAGCGCTGATGTAGGAAGGCTATAGCAGTGTTTGTAGCATGTGTTAAAACCGCTGGGAAAATGTAGGACTGATTAAAAAAAACATAATGCAAAAAAAAAATATCATTTTTATAATTAAATATTACATAAGTAATATCAAAATGGATGCTTAAATATATATAGAATTAAATGAATACAAGCATTTCTCAGTTAGTAATACAGGAACTTAATATATCCAAAAGTAAATACAAGAATAAAAAAAAATTCTCCAAAAAATCTCAAACTATTAAAACAAGACATAAATTTGGAGAAATATTAAAACAAAAAGATAAGAAAATAAACGTGAATTCAGTAGCTAATAAATTCCCAATTCTGAAAAAGCTTCATCATGAGCATCTCCAATAATAAACGTGAACTCCTAGTGGCCTTCCAAGCCTATGCGAACCTCACTAGCAGCCACAACAGCTCATCTAATCCAGCTCTCTCTTCGTCAGTCAATCGACTAGCAGTCACTTGTCTTGGTTCTGATGAACTTGATATAACTCTACTTTCATATGATTGCCCTTCTTGAATGTTGTTTTAACTTTGGGTGACACTACAACCAAAAATTTTTCACTGGGATAAAATCTTGTGTTTATGTGTGTGTTTTTTTTTTTCTTAAATCTGATGTTTGATTTGACATGCTAACTTTTTAATTATCAAATTTTAGGCATGAAATATTTGAGTATGAGAAGTAATTCAGCAACAAAAACAAAACAGCAAGAAGACCTAATTCAAATCACCATGTAAAAATAAAACAACAAGAAGATATAATATCATTGAGATTGGATTAAAAAAAAAAACAGCAACAATATATAAAAATACTGATTATTAGAGGAACAATAAAAGAAGATCAACTCAAAAAATGAAAAAACCTTATATAAATCTCACCCAAATTTGCTCGGTTTCAGGTATGATTCAAGAAGGAGAAGAAGGTGCGAACGACGGCGACGAATGGAAGAAGCGGCGTCGGCGTCGGTGTCTGCGTCAATGTCGACTTCAGCGGCAGCGATTGCGTCATCTTCAGTTGGAGAGGAGAAGGGTCGCGCGCGGAGTGGATCGCGAGGATGGTGTGGGTGTCGACGGAATGTGGATTCGGCGTCGGCGTCAATGTATGCTTCTCCGTCGATCGGCGTCGGCGTCAATGAACTTCAGCGGCGTCGCAATTGATGGGGAGGAAACGGCTCACGCGCAGTGAAGTTCACGCTAGGGCTTTATTTGGGCTTACAAATTTTAGAAGATTTTCGCGGCTTATCTATGTTCCCGCCTAAAATATTCGCGGCTAATTTCGTTCACCCAAATAAACTCATCAGGTCTATTATAGCAATATTTAATTTGCTGTATAAAAAATGCTGCGATAGCCTCATTTTTTTGTAGTGAATGTTTATAATTTTTTGAAATATCGTTTACTTATTTCATAAAAATCCATTAAAACCCTCCTAAATTAATTAAAAACGGGTCAAACCGGGTTGATTTTGGGTTTCCGGGTCAATTAGGTTCGGGTTTTCGAGTCGGGTCAAATATTGACACCCCTAGTCTTGCCGAGTCGCTCGATTCAATTATAAGCATGTCAAATTTTAAGATAATTTGATCATTCAATTAATATTTGATGTTTCCAATTATGCATAAATGGTTTATTTGAGCCCGTTTAGACTAGGATTGAACCAATATATATGTAAATACTCAACAAACATCAACTACAAAAAATCTCTACCAATACATCAACCATCTACAACAATACAACATTCCATACTCAACATAACACAGAAGGCATAAACATAACTTACTATGAAAATCATCATAAATTACTTAGTAAACTCAATCAAATGGACTAATTTATTAAAAAGAGCGTAATTAACGGCTAATTAAATAGACTAAAATTAAATTAAAAGACTTGAAAAATACGATCCGTGAGTTTTAATTAAAATAATATACTTTAATTTTGCTCATTTTTTAAATAATTACAACAGTTCTAATAACTTATCGCTTGCAGTTAAATTTAGTGCTTGAAAATTAGTTTGATGAGATAGGATATTAATAAAATGAAGCAGTTATTATTAATAGCTTATCAATTTCACAATCCTTAATCCAAATATATCCTATCTTATGTCACATCCAGTCGGCCTTCAAATAGTATAAAACTTTATTAAATTATGATATATATATTAATTAATTAAAGTACTTATTATTAAAATATTAAATATCTAAAAGACTAAAAAAACAGTTGCGTTGACCGATTTTTTCGTTGACCAAAACACGACTTTCTTGCAGAAACGGCAACGCAATATAGTGACTTAATTTTGACCGTCAGATCCGCGGTAGAGTTACCTCAAGGATCAGACGAACCCCAACCGTCGGATCTGTGGGCCCACACTTTGCTTTCTTCCATAGGAGTGGAAAAGCCCCAGGAGCGTTTGACTTTGGAAGGCCCGATTTTCAGGCAGAAACGCCTCCTGCCCTTGACGCTTCCGACACGTGGCGCTATTTCTCAGCGTGTTTGATAAAGTTCGTAATTACCCCCGCGGTAATTCAGTAATTACCAAAACTTTGGTGAGGGGAGAGAGGTTAAAAAGGTAAATCGGAGGTGAGGGGAGATTGGAATTGAATTATAGGGAGAGAGGCGTACAGGAAGAAAATAGAACAAAAGAAGTGGGCTTTCTCATCGTCGCCAGCGAGAAACAGTCTAAGGTATTTATTGCCACCATCACTCCTTCCTCTTCACTATTCTCCTTCTTCTTTCGAGCCTTGGGAAGATCTTCTATGGATTTTTGCTTTTGCTTTATTTTTCTAATGGTGTTTATTATATGATGTGAAGGGAGAAGAGGAGAGAAATTTTGCTTGGTTGTTTAATTACTTTGGTGTTTGAGAGAAAGCGAGGATGTATGGAGATTGCCAAGTGCTGCCGTCGATGGTCGGTGGAGGCGGAGGCGGTGGTGGAGGGAACGTAATCTCCCCTGATTCACTCTTCTCCTCCCAGATCAGAAACCCTAATATTGGTGGCTTCATGGCAGGCGTCGTGCCTTTCTCTTCCTTTCCTCCCATGGTGCCGGTGAGCAAAAATGCGTTTTTTTTTCTTTTCTTCACATGGAATAAGGATAAATTTAGTAACTATCCCACTTGCAGAAAGAGGAGGCAGCCCGGAAGGAGGAGGAGATGGAAAGCGGCTCCGGTAGCGGCCACCTGGAGGGGTTAAGCTGCGGCGAGGAGCACGACGACGGGACTCCGCCACCGCTGGCGTTGCCGACGCCGCCTCCTGCAAAAAAGAAACGTTACCACCGCCACACATCACGGCAGATCCAGGAGATGGAAGCGTAAGATCACAGAAAAAAAAAAAAGATTCTCTAATGCATCTTATTTTGACAAAAAAGGTAAGTAATCTTTTATTTTGGGCAAAAAATCAGATTGTTTAAGGAATGCCCGCACCCGGACGACAAGCAACGGCTCAGGTTAAGCCAAGAACTTGGCCTGAAACCTCGCCAGGTGAAGTTCTGGTTCCAGAATCGCCGGACTCAGATGAAGGTGCGCATGTTAATCCAATCCAGACCGTGCTGATATGCGCTTTTTAATTCTTGCACGTGTAGACAAATAATTTTAAAAAAAGGAAAACAAATATCCTTTTTACTGGTTTCCAATTATATATAAAAAAAAGATTTGCTTGAGACAGCGAACTTAAAAAAAGAGGAGATGTATCATGGATTTATATTGGTTGTGTTGTCCCGCAGGCGCAGCAAGATAGATCGGATAACGTGATCCTGCGGGCGGACAACGAGAGCCTGAAGAACGAGAACTACCGGCTGCAAGCGGCCATTCGTAACGTTATATGCTCAAACTGCGGCGGCCCTGCAGTGCTCGGCGAAATGTCCTTCGAGGAGCACCACCTCCGCATAGAGAACGCTCGCCTGAAGGATGAGGTCAGTCTCAATTCCTTAACCACGACAAAAACCCTAAAACTTAGTTTCTCACACGTGCCAATCGACAAGCCGCGTGCGAGCCAGATCCCCTATTGCTTTCCAAAAGTCAAAACTTTAAAAATACCGCCCCATTACCGCTGCTCGCCGCCATGCAAAAGCTCGTATCTGCGGTTCATTCATGGCTTAGATACAAACATATGTGGAAAAAAAATGGTTTTGAAAGGATTTGGGGGAAGATTATTTCTTCAAAGTTATGATTTTGAAATACAGATTTTCTGAGTTATCACTCATTAAAAAAAAAGGCTATTCTTTTAAATTTTTGCTCCAGATGAGTACTCTGATGATTTTAATATCCGCCATGCTCAAAACTTGATGAGAATATCTGGACTTAATTTATTTTTTAAAAAATAATGTGATGCAAAATAGAAAGAAAGATTAAGAGGAAAAGACTCCTGAGAGGATATGGAGAAACCGAATCAGTAATCCTCATTCATTCAATTACAATGCAAATTCTAATCCTAAGTCATAATGTCGTAATGGAAGGATATAATTTAAAAAAAAAAAGGCATATTTTTTATTATTTGATGTGTACATAAAAATGTTGCTGCAGCTTGATAGATTATCATGCATCGCCGGGAGATTTGGCGGCAGCCGGTCCATGTTGCCTTCATCGCCTTTGCTGCTTCCGCCTTCACTAGACCTCGACATGGCAATATACTCAAGGCACTTCCACGACCTTCCGCCGCCGCAGCTGCCGCCGCCGGCAGTGTCATGCGGCGATATGCTTTTGGCCTCTGGGTATGTGGACGAGGACTCCGCTTTCACAGGAGTGCTTATAATGGAAGGGAAGAAGCCTTTGGCTCTTGAGCTCGCCATGGCTGCTGCTGAACAACTAGTGAGAATGTGTCGGGTGAATGAGCCGCTCTGGTTGAAGAGAGGTGGCAATGCTGTCGGCGGTGGAGCATTGGAGATTCTTGATGAAGAAGAGCACTCCAGGCTGTTTCCATGGCCAATGGATGTGAAGCAGCTGGGTGGTGGGGGGTACAAACTGGAGGGGACCAGAGACACCGCGCTTGTTATCATGAATAGCATTACTTTGGTGGATGCATTCATGGATGCTGTAAGTTTATCAATAATAACAGTACTGTAATTCTGCATGTATATATCAATATATAGTTGACTTCCAATTTATTTCTCATGTCAGATGATTTTAATGGAGATGCTAAAAATTTATGTTTGGTGTAGTAGTCATGAACTTCTCGTTGTACCCATCATGAATTAATACTCTTATCTTAGTTATTTTAGATGATTTTATAAATTTTTTATCAGTTTAGCCTTATAATTTTTCTGTTTTGTTTTCATCCTCAGCATTAAATATGTGTTAGATAGCTAGATCCATATTGTTTTTTTTTTTTTTAACATTATCTATCCATGAATGAGCTTGTAGGAGTGTTCATGTCCTTCATATGTTAATTTTGATAGTTAATGCGTCAGTTTATCAAAAACTGAAGAAATTCTTCTTCGATGGCTTTATGATTTCTGCAGAATAAATGGTTGGAATTGTTCCCCTCCATTGTATCAAAGGCAAAAACTATTCAAATTATAACATCTGGACTCCCTGGAAATGGAAGTGGGTCTCTTCACCTGGTAATTAGCCTATATTAAGAACTCTCGCCAATGTCAATCTGTTGCAACAGCTACATATTCAGCTTATTTGTTTATCGGAACACGTACAGATGTATGCAGAGATTCAAGTTCTTACACCTCTGGTGCCTACACGAGAGGCTTATTTTCTTCGATATTGCCAGCAAAATGTGGAAGAAGGTACATGGACAATTGTTGATTTTCCTGTGGACAACCTTCAAGATGTTATACAATTGCCTCTCATGCGATATAGGAGAAGACCTTCTGGCTGTGTTATCCAAGACATGCCCAATGGGTACTCAAGGGTGTGTTCTATTTCATAACAAAATTCCATTTTTTGTTTTTTTGGTCTTAACGTTTCATAAAGTTTTGCTTCATTTATCTTATTAACATATACATTTATTAATTACATTCAACTAATTGTTTTTTTTTTTTTTTTGGTAAATTTTTAATGGAGTCCTTCGAAGAGGATGGTACAAGGGCATATGATCTTTAATGCTTATTAAATTGAATAATTAGCCTGCATTATCATAAGTGCTTGAGACCGCCAAAGTACGATTTACTCCAATGAGTGACTCCTTGTTCATAAATGAAACCCATTAATGTTTTCTTTTGTAGGACATTTTTAGGTGGTGAGTTATTTCCTTTATCTTGCCCTTAGATATGTTATATTAGTATAAAATTCCTTAGATCAACAATTATTTGTTCATTTCATCTAACAAGTTAAGAATATGCAACCTGCCTAACCCTTGGGGCCTATTTGTGGAGAAATTATTCTGTGCATTCACCGAACTGTTCCGAGACAAATCAAGATACGCCATGTCATCCGGTACACATAAAAATGACGCAGCGCGTCCTGATTCGCCTCCGGACGGCTTCATGTGACCGCAGAGAATAGTTTCTCCTAGTTGTTGCGGTTATTGCTGTTGGTAAAAGTAGTTGTAATGCTGTAGTGAGAAAGTGACTTTTTTGCTAGTTGTGAGTGTTACAAGTTTTTTTTTAAAGAAAGTCAGACAATATATATTTTCTTATAAATATTATATTTTAATAGATTTGATTGTAAAAAGTTGTTTTTTTTCATCACAAATGTTTCTAAGAGACTAAGAAATCAATAGATAAATAGCAATGTGGCAAGGTTTTGTTTCTACTACTAGAATATTTCAGATCCAATTTATTATCTTTTAGATGCCAAGTGCTGGACCACTCAATCATACTTAGAGCATCGTAAAATAACTGCGTGAAGCAAACTCTACAGACAAAAAATGTCTACTTATTATACATAACATAGCTTTCTACCTAACTCATTACATTGAGCTTTCTGCTCTTTTTATATATATATAAATGGAGAGAGATCTATATTTAATTGGTAAGGTAAGATCAATGATAAATTTTATTAGATAAAAAAAGAGAGAAATCCTTGTTATTACAGCCTCCAGGTCTCAAACCAGAGACCTGTGTTCTGAAAATCAAGGATTATATTATTTGAGCCAATGCCTTTGCATCCATATTTATTGCATACTGAGCATGACTTCAATGAGATCCATAATTCCATTCACTATGGCTTGGCTTCGAACAACTCTTTTACCTCCATGAGCCACATGTTGTGCATTTTTGCATTAACTCCTGTATGTCCAACATTCAATTCACAACTATCATATTTTTACTGCTTTGATTTTAAAATAACCTTTCATCTTCATCGTTAATCTTACTCTACTCATTCAAAATAAATAAAAAATCTATATAATGCAAGTGATCTTCTCTAATGATTCAGTATCATCAGCATTGCATTCGCAGAGCAATCCATTCCTTTCTTTGATGATAATGGAGTGAACTTAACCTTATCATGTAGGTGATTTGGGTGGAACAAGCAGAGGTGGAGGATAAGCCAGTACATCAGATTTTTTCCCAATTCATTAACAGTGGAATGGGATTTGGAGCAACTCGCTGGCTATCCGTCTTACAGCGACAATGCGAACGGCTAGCGAGCTTAATGGCCAAAAGTATTTCTGATCTGGGAGGTATTTATAAATACTGGAGTATCATTAATCAAACTTTTCAATTAATCTGCAGTTCCCATGAGATGTAATTATAAAATAGCATAAATTTCTGCTGCTTTTTTTGCATTTTCAGTAATCACAACACCAGAGGGAAGGAAGAACATAATGAAGCTATCACACAGAATGGTGAAAACCTTCTGTGCTGGTATTACTTCCTCTGGAGGACAATCATGGACTGCACTATCCGATTCACCTGATGATACAATTAGAGTAACAACCAGAAAAAATACTCTACCAGGACAGCCTAATGGTGTTATTTTGTCAGCAGTATCCACAGTGTGGCTTCCATTCTCTTACCATCAAGTCTTTGATCTCTTGACCGATGAGCAACGAAGGTCTCAGGTATATCCAAGAATTAATATCATTTTTTAAATATATTATTAAAAAAGTCAAAAGTAGGAAACGAATTTAAACAAAAAAAAAACTATGTGCAGTAGTTTCTGTTTACCCTTAGAGATAGGATACGAAATGAGCATATACCAGATAAGATTGGAGTAACTCCAGTGGAAGATAAGATTAGAGAGAGTCGCCTTAGATGGTTTGGTCACAATAAACGAGGCATTCTGAAGACCCGGTTAGGAAAGTTGCAGTATTAGATTTGACTAAATGTTAAGAAAGGTAGAGTAGACCTAAAAATACTTGGTTAAAAAATATTAAAAATGATATCTCTTTATTAGATTTAAATGAGAATTTGACTTTTAACTGATCACGATAGCAAAAAAGGATTCATGTAGCCAACCTCAGACAGTCGGACAATGGCTTGATGTTGTTGTTCAGTAGTTTCTATTTATCATTTCTTATTCTGATATATTGATAATGCATTCTTTAAATTAAACATTATTCATACACTGATTTGTATGTAGATGGACGCCTTGTCAAGTGGAAACTCTCTTCATGAGGTTGCTCATATAGCAAATGGCTCGCATCCTAGGAACTGTGTCTCTCTTTTACGCATAAATGTGAGTGAGCTATTTCCATCCATTCTGATCTTTGAACTAGAAAATTTGAATTGTGCTCGCTTAATTCTTATTTAATTGCCAGTATTGCTTGTTATCAATAGCTCCTGGAAATATTTCCTCTAGCCTGGAATCTTCCAGGCAAGAACACGAAGCTTGTCTGCATTTTTTACCTGTGATAGAAGGAAAATTATTACGTGCAGCGTCCGGATTCGTCCGCAGGCGAATCTGGACCCGCCATGTGACGTGGCGCGTCCGAATTCGCCTCCAGATGATTCGGACACCACACGTAATAATCTCTCATGATAGAAAGGGGCATCAGAATAGATGCTAATAAAGTCATAATAATTGATTTTTCTTATGGTAATTAATGTTTCAGCAATAAATAGTAGACAAAGTTGAGGATGGGGCAGCAGACTTGTCAATGATGCCCTATTAAATGAGCCCTTGATTTGTAGAGTCCAAGCTAGCTGTGTCCCTCTCCCTGTGTGGTTCTGAAGCCTAGCTCATCCATGGCCTCTTTTATTCACCATCTTAAAGAATGAAACCAAACGCTTTTATTTCCTGGAAGAAACAAAGGCGTACAATTCTTCTTGCCTATATGCATCCACAAGAAATTTTTTACTAAAAAATTGATGTAAGAGCTCATGCCAGATTATCAAATAATTAGGTGGACCAAAAACAATTCTCCCTAAATAAAATATATGACACTCTTTTCATTTTGATTGGACCATCTAAACAAATGGAGCCCACATGATTTATTATTTATATTTTTAGCAAAAAATGTCATCAATTGTTACAATTTTACACTTTTTTTTCCTTAAAAATTATTACCTTATCAGCAGAATTATCAGATGTTAATCTATGCTTATCTTACTAAACTCCACTGCTATAGAAAGTCTGACAAATTGTTCTTTCTTTCCTGCTTTTTATGGAGAATTAAAAGATTAAAATATGACATCAGTACTGATATAACTTAATCTCTTGTATGCCAAGTAGGCCGCAAGCAATTCTTCCCAGAACGTGGAGCTTCTTCTACAGGAGAGCTGCACCCACCCCTCAGGTGGCAGCCTGGTTGTATATGCGACGATCGACGTCGATGCTGTTCAAGTCGCAATGAACGGGGACGATCCCTCTTACATTCCTCTTCTCCCCACCGGCTTCGCCCTCTTCCCGGCAGAACAACCGGCCTCTGTATCTTGCTCCGACCCCGCCGCCACGAATAACTCAGCTGCCATCGGCTGTCTCCTCACAATTGGAATGCAGGTGCTGGCAAGCGCCGTTCCATCAGCAAAGCTCAATCTTTCTAGCGTCACCGCCGTCAACCACCACCTTCTCTCTGCCGTGCACCAGATCACCAATGCTCTGGCTGGTGGTGGTGGTGGTTCTTCCACTGTTCTTCCAAGTCTAGAACAATAGCATCTCCCCCCTTTTGAAATCAAGTTTCAAAATGGCCAAAATACCCTTAATCACAAGTGAATCTTCCTTTTGTGCTCTTCTCTATCAAAGATAAAACTGCTATGTGAGGGCATTTTGATCATTTTGATTCGTAGGGGAGGTAAAAATGTTATAATAAATTAGTTGTTGAAAGTAGGCTCTTTTAGTTTTAATGTTCAATGGAGTCTGAAGATTAGTATATTGGAGAAAGAAAGAGAGAAAAAAGTGAGAGAGAGGGGCAGTCAAGAGCGCACCATATGCGATCCTTGAGTCATTACTGAAGCTTTGAAAAGCTTCATGTGGGCTTCAGGGAGAATTGGTTCGGGTATTGACTTCTTCTGCTTGTCAGAACTGTTCAACTAGTCATTGTTGTTTGTCCAATATCTCTTTAGTGTGCAAACTTTTTCATTATAGCTTCTTCTTCTGGTTTGTTTGTCATTTGGTAAGATTTAAATGCTTCTGCAGCTCTTATTAATTGTCACCTATCGTATTAATTTTGGGGAGGTTGGTTCTCTGCTGCTCTTCTAAGCTGTGACCCTTAGCCGTTTTACCGTTTGAAGAATTTGGATTTAAATTTTTTTGTTTTTATTATCTTTCCATATTTCTGAACTGATTCATATGGTTATTTTTTAAAAAAATCATTGTTCGGTCGTTTTCTTTTGAAGAGGGGTAGCAAAGGCTAAGAACTCCTTGGAGATTTCATCTGATGAGTATGAATCTTGAAGTAATATTATAATAGAAAAATTATCACAATTAAATTTAAGATTATGTGAACTTTGATTTTAGTAAGCTTATGTTCAAATCGAATGTCTTATTAATACAAATCTATTACTACTAAAAATGATTTGATTTGAATCTAAATGAATCCAAATCAAATACTTGAAGTATGTATGAAAGATTTGGGGAATTAATTAAAGGATAAAATATTTTTTAAATCTTGTGTGCTTCTAGTGAAATTGAGTGGCTGGATAAGACAAATCTAATGAGCTCAAAATCAATCAATTTCAAGATTATTAGTGAAAATAAATATTTAATAAAAAATATATGATCATGGGAATTAATATAGATCATTCAATAGATTATTTTTGAATTTTAATCAAATTTATTAAATTATCCCTCTCAACAAGCTTATAAATAGAAAAAATTATTCTGTGTGAACATCGAACGGCTTTGGATATCAATTAGAATGCGTCACGTTATTTTTTAGTTGGTTTCTGATTGGTATCAGCACAGAATAAATTTTCCTATTAATAGAGCATCATTTTCTGATGGGGAATATCTAACCCATCGACTAATATATATATCATATGGT